GTGGTAGCGCTGGCCTGTAATTCCGGCTACTCGGAAGGCTGAGGCGGAAGGATCGCCGGAGCCCAGCAGGCGAGGCTGCGGTGGCCGGGAGCGGCCACTGCACTCCGGTCTGGGCGACAGAGTGAGACTCCAACTCAAAAAAAAAAAAAGAAAACAAATAGATAAGAAATTAGTGCCCTTGTCATCATCTGCAGTGGAGAGGATTATTACTAAGGTCATTTCTGGGTAACTAACAAGACTTAGTAACAAGGATTATTAACGTATTAATAACTTATTATCTTATTAACAACTTATTAATTTATTAACAAGGATTATTAACAAGGATTATTACCATGGTTATTTCTGGGAAACTAACAAAACCCACTACAAGGCACATCTATTTAACCATATCGTAGGTGAGTGATACGAACTATTTAAGTATCTGATTACATAAACCTTGACATCTAATTATTCTCGTACATAAAATGATGTCTCCACTGTTGGAGGTAAACATGAAATCAAAGACCAGATCATTGTAAGACAATTGTGTGCCAGCTGAGCAGACATGTGTTTATTTCCACACATCCTATAAAGCATGTTTCCTGTCTTCGCTTCATTTAATTGCCTAAGTTGCACACATGGTCCAAATGTGCACACGTGCGCTTTAAACCTGAAGAAGAAAAGAGTAAATGCAATTTCTATAAAATGGCTACTAGAAAATCGAACCGCTCTCATATCTCAAAACTGTGATAAAGAAGGTGTGAATGAGTTTAGTATGATGAAAAAATACAAATAACTGGCAATTGAAGAAGGTAAAATGTTCAGGTGTCTATCTTACAATTCTTTTAGAAAAATTACTCGTGGGAAAATATGAAACCTATACTTGAATAATTGAAATATTATTGCATGCAAATTTTTAGTTACTTAAAAGTATACAGAAGTAGCCGGGCTCGGTGGCTCAGCCTGTCATCCCGCGCCTTTGGGAGGCTGAGGTGAGTGGATTGCCTGAGCCCGCGGGTTCGAGACCCGCCTGGGCAGGTGAGACCTCATCTCTACAATAAAGCAAAAAATCAGCCGAGCGTGGTAGTGCGCGCCTGTAATTCCGGCTACTCGGAAGGCTGAGGCGGAAGGATCGCCGGAGCCCAGCAGGTCGAGGCTGCGGTGGCCGGGAGTGACCACTGAACTCCAGTCTGGGCGACAGAGTGAGACTCCAACTCAAAAAAAAAAAAAAGTATACAGAAGTAATTCTATATAGTTAGACAGAGAGGACAATTGAATTCCTCGATTAAAATGTAAGTAGCCAGGCACAGTGGCTCAAGCCTATAATCCTAGCACCTTGGGAGGTGGAAGCAAGAGGATTGTCTGAGATCAGGGGTTCGAGACCAGCCTGAGCAACAAAGTGAGACCCCCATCTCTATGATAAATAAAAAATATTTAGCCAGGCTTGGTGGAAGACTGAGGCGGAAGGATCATCTGAGCTCAGTGCGTCAAGACTACAGTGGTTGTGAGCGTGCCACTGCACTCCAGTTTGGGCAATAGAGCAAGATTGCAACTCAAAAAAAAAAAAAAGTCAGCAAAATGTAAATCAATTGGAAGCTTTTAAAAAAATCAAGTAAATTACATAAAGCTAGGTCTAGAGTGTTACTATATTAGAATGGTCATGTCTTTCAAACAGTGTTTAAATAATCCATATTTGAATACTCATATTTAAATTTTAATATAGATATTCTTTGAATTCGGTATTTATAAACCTGAATGCCAAAAAGTAAAGTTTTAGAGTTGAAGCAACATCAGCACATTGGCACATTTATATTTTAATAACAAATCACTTCACAATTGAAAGTAATGAGTTTGTGACCTCTTTCATTTACATTATTTGTCCTATGGGGTACTGAATAAGACATGTAGATCTGCTATTCCTTATTATGAAAATGATTCCCCACAAAACTTTAAAACTTGAGCATATTTTGGGCATGCTTCAACATTTGGAAAGTTTTTCACAGGATAACTATGTTCAGTAATGTGCAACTTTGATCAGTCTGATGATGTAAACAGTCAGTGATTAAACCTACACTCTGTTCAGGTTGAAAAATCTTACTGGCAAAAAAAAAAAAAAAAAAAGGAAAAGGCAAAGAAGAAAGAAATCACAGCTGGAAATTTTCCCAGAAACTTCACTAGATGACAAAGTAAAAACCAATCTTCCATAGACACTTAATGAAGATATGGTTCAGGGGTCTTCTCTTCTAGAGACCATTATGCTCACAAGAAAATACAAATTCTGTGCATTTCTACAGTTAAAACCTGTAATCAAAGCAAGCTAAAAGAAAAAGTGAAAAATTATATTGTTCATTACTTCACTTACAGTGGTTTTCCTTTGGATTCACAAGTCAAAATTAAAGGCTGTCCTTCTTGTGGAAAAGGAGTGGATGGGATAATCTTAACTGATGGTGTATCTAGAAAAAAAAGGAATTTTAACAAAGGTCATTGAATGCATATCAAACTACATACTTAATAACTATGCAGCATGCTGTATGTTCAGCATTTCTTACTTATCTTATAATTGCATATATTTCTAAGTGGTTTCTTAGATTTGGTGAAACAGGGTGCGTAATTTTAAGAAACTACCAACCTGTCCATGCAAAGCTAACAAAAGTATCTGAATATCTTATGAGCACCACTGTTGTATTATTTCTGAAATTTGAATTTAAAAGTGAAATTGCAAAAAGTGGTTCGATGAATAGCAAGCATTTCACACAATTGTTTCTCCAACTATTTATAGATGGCTATGAATACTATTATTATGGATGGAATGCATTTATGTGCATCTGAATAACAACACTTTCATTGTTGCGGAAAGCAGAATTCACAATAAGGAACCGGCAATGAACTCAAGATCAACTCCTGTCCCCTAAGCATTATGCAGAATCTTTTTGAAGATGCAAGAATGCAGCACTGGCACATGCTGCTTGCTCTGAAGTACAGTTTAGAAAATCACTTCAAATAGCTACTTATAACTTTCCTAAAAGTTAACGTTGTGTTATAAATGCTACCACATAATTGTTAGAAAATTATTTATTTCCAATTAACTATAAAATCACCTCTAGCGCAAGAGGATTCAAGAATACTTTAAGGCATTTATATTTATAACCTGTAAGACATAATATTCTTTAATTAACACAAAGAAACATGTTTCATAAAAGAAATGAAAAATAAGGACAGGTGCGGTAACCCACAACTGTAATCCCAGCACTTTGGCAGATTGATTGAGCACAGGAGTTTGCGGCCAGCCTAGGCAATATAACAAGACTGCATCCCTTAAAAAAATAATAAAAAAATTAGCTAGGCACGGAGGCGCATGCCATAGTCCCGGTTACTCTGGAGGTTTAGGCAAGAGGATCACTTGAGATGAGAAGTACGAGACTGTGATGAACTGTGGTCATGCCACTGCAATCGGGCCGGGGTGACACAGTGAGACTCCAATTCAAAAAAGGAGAAAGAGAGAGGGGGAGAGAGAGAGAGAGAGAAAGAGGAAGAGAAGAAAGGAAGGAAGGAAGGAAGGAAAAAGAGAGGATAACAGAAGCACCCTCATTTCCGTATGGAACTTTGCTAGTCCTGTAATGTAAGCATTTTCAGGCTTACAATCAGCGTGGCATTCCCTTCTCCTATGTTCACATTCTCCACAATAATCAAATCTGGCTTTGAACTCTCCACAAAGTCACAATTATTCTCATCCTCCTTTTGTGGCAGGATGCGGCAAATGCTCAAATATATTTCTTGTATGATTGAGTGAATAAACACAGAAACACATGTAGCTGGTTCGGAATCAGCAGTTGGCCTCATGGCAATCACCTGGGATGACTCCCACTAGCCCAGCGGCAGGAAGGGGGTGGTAGCAGTTAAAGGTATTTCCTTTTGAAAGGCAAGTTGCAACTTTAAAGATCTGCCAGGCATGCTGAGCAGGTTTTCAGAAAGGCCAAATGGCCCAGAGACTGACCATTTCATGGAAATGGAAAAGAGTCTTATCTAAAACGCCCCTTCTGAAGTCCAGCGTTTACAAGACTGCAGTTCCTAGAAACCATTTGCTCTTTGAAAAAATCTAATTTTGCTGAGTACAACCTTGTAAGATTCCAAAGGAAATATGTAATCACGCAACACGACCCCCCTCCCTTACCTAAACAAGGGTATAAAACCCCACTTCTCCTGTTCTGGGGCACTCAATTTGGACGCACTAGACCCTTGGGCCCGCTGGGATGGCCAACGTAATAAAGTGCCACTTCCTATAATAGTCTCAGTGTCACGATCTCTCTATTTTTCCTGCTACACCTTTAGCTGTAATGAAAGAACTGATCTACCCAGGTGTTACAGTCATTCTTTGACTTTCAAGTCAGTTAAATAAATAACAACCAATTGCATAATTTTCCAGTGAGTTATCTTATATAAGGAAAATGTATTCAGAAAATATATTCAGATTTATCATATAGATAACAATAAACTATAATATAAAGTGGAAGACTTTATATCACACTTTAAAATTACTTCTGCTTTCAAATGAATTTTTTTCAATTCTTGAAGCAAGAAAATGTATTTAAGATCATAAAAAATAATATTCTGGTTATAATTAGGCATTCCATATACAACATGGTAAATAATTGTAAGGTAGAATAACCCAGAAAGAAAAATTAATTTGAAGAGATATGACACATATTCATCATACTTGTTTTAACTGATAGGAAGAAAAAAATTTGATAAAAGAACAGAACTATTTGAGTAATGAGTATATTAAAGCCCAATCTACAATATTATGCAATATACCCATGTAACAAACCTACACATGGGCCCCCGATTCTAAAATAAAACTTAAAAAACAAATAAATATAGTTTCTTAATTTTTCCATTATCTTCCTATTTATGAAATCTATTATTGACCAGTATGATCATATAATTTAATATCCAAAGCAGGACATTTTTAAAAGTGAAAGAGAAAATAGTAATAATTATGCAGGTGTGGATCATAACTGCTCCGGTAAAACTGAGGCTTGTGGTCTTTTGATCTTTAACTAAGTATAAGCATAGCAAAATGTATTTTCCCTGTGACATATTATAAAAGAAAGCTTCATTTCTAGGGAAAAAAGGTGAACGAATAAAGATTAGAAAAGCATGACTTGGGGAAACAGAATTGTGTTAACTTAGGTGTCTGTGATAGTTACTTTTGTGTGCCAACTTAACTGCATCTTGGGGTGCCCAGCTATTTGTTCGATTATAGTTTGGGACGCTGCAAGGGTGTTTCTGGATGAGATTAACATTGAAGTTGGTAGGCTGAGTAAAGCCTATATTGCCCTCCATTATGCGAGTGGGCCTCACCCAATTGGAGACCTGAATAAAATAAAAAGGCTGACCCTCTTTCAAGCAGAAAAAAAATTTCCTGCCTAAACACCTTCGAACCAGGACGTTGGCTGTGTCCTGCCTTCAGACTAGAATAGAAACACTGGATCTTTCCATGTCTTGAGCCTCCAGCCTTTGGATTGGAAACGTTGATTGTTTCTCCAGATATCAGGTTCAGTCTGGAACTAGACCATTGACTCTCTTTAGCCTCCAACTTGCTGACTTACCTTGCAAATCTTGGGTCTTGCTAGCCTCCATCATGTGGGGGATTTATTCCTCATAATAAATCCATTTTTACATATATGTATATATACACACACGAGGCGGGACCCTCAAAAACCCAGAATTTATTTAGAAAAAATTGGGTATTTATTATCACGTTTAAACTTCAGTCTCCGTTTGATGCAGTGCACCTATCAAGATGCTTTTTCCCCTGTTCAGAATGGTTTTTGCACTCATCAATTTTGATGCCTTTTAGTGTTTCTGCTGTTTTTTGTTTCACCTCTTCCACATCGGAAAATCATTTCCCCCTGGGGACTTTTTTCATCCAAGGAAACAAACAAACAAAATCACTTGGAGTGAGATCAGGTGAAAAGGGAGGGTGAGGCATAAAGGGTCATGCCGTCTTTGGTCAAAAACTGCTGAATACTCAGTGCAGATGTAGGAACATTTAGGAACATTCCTAAATCACCCAATCATGAAATGGGCAAATACATTGAATGAATCTTTCCAAAAACATTCACTGAAGCTGAATGCTGCCTCTCATCACAGTTAGCTGGTTCACCGATGCCATTAGGTTCCTAGAATAATGACCTAGTGGTGGAAGTCTGCAGCACAAGGGGTACAATCTTCAAAAAAAAAATTCTCGTTTTTTTTCGGGGGGGTTCTCCCTTGTATTTGCTACTGGTCCTGTTTCTCTGGAGAATGCTGACTAACACACGGTCCTAACAAAGAGAACCTGAGAGGTGTCTTTGTGCAGGAGGGTCGGCGGTAATCTAAGGAAGTTCCAAGAAGTGAGACAGGGAGGGAAGGAAGTAAACAGAGCCTGTGTTATTGAGCAGGTGACACTAGCCAACGGAAGTCCAATCCCACCATGGAACTCTGAGAGCCAATGTGTGGCAGGCATCTCAGTTTTCTACTGGTTGGGCAAGGGACTGGAGTATTTGCGGAATATTTACCAATTTGCATTCGTGTTTGGTGCAGGACTGCTCCTGGGGGCGGGGGGTGGAAAGGTGTTACTTCCCTGAAACACCCACCTTACTCAGTACATAAAGATGGTGTGTGCCAATGAGAATGTCAGGTCACCACCAGTATCCGCCTTAGTAAGGTAAATTATAAAGCAGAAGGCAGCAGTGAGAGAAAACAAAATACAGCCTTGTTTCTTTTGCCTTTGTCTAAGTAGTTTATTAGTGGTGAGAACTTGTGCAGCAAATGATCCCTTGAAGCATGATTCAACATTCCCCTTAGATATGACTCATGGAATTTCAACTACAAGCAAATGTCAAAGTAGATAATATACTCAGCACATATTCTATGAAACACTCAAGAGTAATATAAATGACCTCTAAGTTACCAAAAATCAAGAGACAGAATGCAATACTCCATCATCTGACTTAAAATTATTCACAATGTTGATTTGTTTCTTTTCCTAAGACTCATCTTTCCAAATAAACAAGGAAACTTAAAAAAAAAGCAATGCGTATAAATATAATTTAAATATTGAGACTATTTTTTAAAAGAATTATCTTCTATATGTTTCTTTGACAAATCCACCTGCCTCTCCCTACCCTCCTGATTTAACTCTCAGTTCTCTGGCTACTCTTTTTCAGTTTCTAATGGGTAGTTTTCTTTTATTTAGCTTCTACATGCTTGAGATCATGGAGAATGGGATCCAGAATGTGCTCTCTCATCAATTTCTCCAGTCTTTTTAGCCACAGGCAGCTCTTCAGTTTTCATCTACTTTACAGTCACACCCAGATGTATATCCTAATGTGGTTTTGTTTCACCAGCTTTTTATATGCAGCATCTACATGGCATGTACTCTGGGATATCTCAAGGACATGGCACACTT